TACTACCTACGGACAATCCCCTATGAACTGTGATACTAAATAGCTGCTCTAATACTAGAAGTGTATAGCATGACAATACTGATCAGAGAGGGACAAACATAATGCCTTTCCATCAGTGGAGGTCAAAATACACTGTTAGCATTTGAGATCTCTAGATGTGCCAGAGTGTAGACATAACTGTGACAGGGGAGGTTATATTACCAAACCAGTGCAAAACAAGGAATGTTTTTTTTGGAGTGGAGTGAATGGTGGGACAGGAAGGTAACTTTGAGGAATGAGTGCCTGCCAGCAGTTAACTTAAGAGTTGGCATTTAACACGTCCCAGCTGAGAAGAAAGAACAGGAGACCAAGGAGAAAAGCAAAGAAAGACAATGAGGGGGCCAAGATTCAGTGACAAAAAAAAAAAAAAAAGGCATGTACTCCCCCAATTTCCTGTTTCTACTGAAAACATGGATTGTTTCCTTCTGTCTCATACTGGTGACAGATTGTGCAAAATGTATGTGGAGAGCTGGCTGGAACATAGCTCACAGCCTGCCAAGGACCAAATGTGTAACAATTTCAAAATGACAGCAACACAGCCATTAAATATTTGATGAGGAAGTCTTTTAAGTCATAGATTTCAAATCCTCTTTTAAAGTGGGGGAAGTATTTTATATTAATTTTACTCATTGAGAAACGTAAACTGAGTGAGAATTTGCTTATCCAAAGAGTTGCAGGCTGTTACAGGCCAGAATTTAGAACAGAGCTCTCTTTTATGGAGCACTGAATGCTTGTGATTAAACTGTCTGCAAATTACATTTTTCCCCTAAACATAGTTGTGTAAGGTCTTCATTTCAGTCTTCAAATTGGAAGAAGAGTAAGGTTCATCGCAGGCTAGTGTCTGGTGACCTGATAAACTCTCCCTCTCTTCCCCATTTGTGGTATTTGATCTGCACTGCTGTATTACTGCTTACTTACCCAGTTTGTTCCTAAGACGTCATTCACATCGGGTTATAGCAAAATCTATCCTTTGAATGCAGGAGGAATTGGAGTGGGTTACGTTCTATGAGCTCCTGCTGTTCTCACTGGGCTCGGCTACCTAATTAAAGATCAAGTCAACTTCCCAGTGTTGAGATTCAGGACGAAATCTACCACATGCGAGGATGATGAGCCTATCCAGCAAGGAAAATTAAAGACAAAAAAAAAAGTCAAAGCTGCTGAAAGGAAGGCAAGGCCACCCAGCAAAGTTTAGGAAAGGCACGCTCTTACCTGCTATGTGTGAGCTGCACAGTGTTAGAAAACGTAATCACCAGCATACATTTCAGACTGGGGGAACCAGTTCGCATTATGCTTTTGTCAGCTCAGAGAATGAGAAAGATGTGGTGTGAGCACTGGTCTGGATGCTGGAACTCATGAATTCCAATCCTGGTAATGGCAAAAGATCACTGTGTGGGCAAGTCACTTAACCCCTCTGTGGTTCGCTTTTTTCAGAAGTGAAATGAGAATAGTATTTCCCACTCAGGAATGTGGAGGAAGATTAATTAATGTTTGAAAAGCCAGTCTTGCGGTGGGAAGAGTTATATAAGAGCTAAGTGTTTATTAATGGTTGCCCTTTTATAGAAACTACTTCTTAGCACGGTGATATGGCTGATTAATAAAATGTGCTCTATCTGGAAAATAAGAGATTAGGGTGAATTCAGGAAGATTCAATCTATTGGAGAAACCATGAAGTTCTGACTTAGCTTTTATTCTAGCAAAGTCTCACTGAAGGCAATGGTTCTTTTGCCTGACTAATATCATAATACCTTTTTTCCCTGCAAAAGTCAATTTGCTTGGGGAATAGGAAATCTCTGCATTTTCAACTCATGGCATCACTTCGGAATTTTTCCGTGACAGAACATGAATTTGAAAGGTGGAAAAGTCTAGACACCAAGAAAAAAAGCTGCTGGAAACTGCACATCTTTGGTCCTACAAAGGATCTGCTGGGACTGTGTAAACAGTAGTCCTTTGCCTCAGCTCTGGTTATAAAGCCCTCCAAATTCTTTTTTAGCTAGGCACGTCTCAGCTTGCTGCCACCCTTGAAGGCCATCTGAAAGTGTGTTGGCAGTGGGAAGGGCTCAGCTGCAGAATTACTACTGCCTCAGCTTATATCAATGCTTGCTGTTCTTTTCCTGGTGAGCTGATAATTTTTGCTGGAGAAGGGCAAGTCTGCAGACCCATCTGATTTCCTATGCCATCCTAAACTCCGCAGCTAAGATCCCTGCAGGATCCTGAGGTAAAGCCACAGCCTTGGGACTTCCTGCAGGGAATGCAAGTTTCCTTTTGTGCATGGAGGGAGAAAGATGTCTGAGACCTATATTCAAGGACGTGGTACTTTTGTAAGGTAACAACTGTAGAGGTAGAATTGTGGGTATGTTTTCAGGTATTGCTGAATGAAATAGAGTCTGGTAGAACTTTTTGAAATATTTTTGTTTTGAAATTTAAAACCCCCTCAAATAGGGTAAATGGGACTGGCTTTTAGAGATTATCTGATTTTGCAGCTAGGTTAGCAGTAATGCAGAATCAGGCTATGGAAGAGGAAGGGACAGTTGGATAGTAAATGTCATGCAGCTACTAACTCCAAGTGCCTCCTCCTTTTGTCAGTAGAGCACTGATCAGCTGGCAGTGCTCTGAAAATAATTTAAGTAAAGAGAAGTTTTTGAGCAGTATCTGTAATTCATAGCAGAATAATTATTTTTTAACTTTCATCTTCAAACACACACAAGTAAGGGGGATAGAGTAGGATACTTAGTATGATACTCAAATAATCTGCTAGAAATGTAAATCTATCCATCCTAAGAAATGCTGTAACGTTTGTGTAATTAGAGGGGGGTTTCTTTCTGAAATAATTTAAACAGTGAACGGTTTGTAGCTGTCTTCGGTTTGATGATTAATTTTGTGTTACACTTCTTCCCATATTCAAAAAGTGGAGACAAAGTCATACAGAACTGTGGATATCTTGCTGTCTGACCCCCTGCAAGCAACTGTTCCACTGCTTGTCCTTTGTTCTGTAGGACCACAGAGGAGGAGCTTCCATCTCCAGAATGCATTAGAAGAATACAGAGCTGGTACTAGAAGAAGTGAGACCAAATTGACATTTTGTGGAGAGTACGCGTATAAGAGCAGTCTAGTTGTTCAAAATGTCTGGCAATAGAGTTAGGTTTACGTATGAAACGAGGACAGATGCTTCAAAGAACGGATGTGCCTGTGTATTTTTACTCATTTTATCTCTACCCAACTTTACCCCCTCCCTCCTGCAGGAATTCTCATTTCTAAATCAAGGGCATTCAAAGACTTGAAAAAATATGTGGCTAAGGACACATTGCATTTGGAAAAAGCTTTTGTCCTGTTATGATGACTGTATGATCATCATCTTGCAGTATGGAGAAAACTGGGATAAAAGTATCTACTATTCCAGATCACTCATTTATATCATGGGGTTGTTTTACATGTTTCTAATAAGGCAAAGTATTTTCCTTGAGGGATTTTGCAAATCAGCCAGAAGAGATGGAGAATGAAATATATTATCATGCTAGGCTTCGATTCACCATTTTCTATCATCTGTTCCAGAATGTGGTCCATCAATTGGCTTTTTATGAGTAGTAGCAGAAAACTACAATAATGGAAGTTTTACTTAGATGTAAATGAACAATTGGAGTGAGTCTTTTTCGGGTTGGTTTGTTTGTTTACGGAGCCTTATGACATTCCCAGACTGGGGTGTCTGGGGAATGGGAAGTATCTCTACACATTGCAGGATACATTTTCAGTATCAGGGCTGAGTGAAGTTTTTAGGAGTGGATGATGACTTCCCCCTTGGATATTTTTTCAAGGGGTCTAAAAACAAGACAGAGAATTAGAGACTGCTGGGTGTTCTGTTCTCTCTTCTGGCACCACTTCCTTCGCTTTCCTAAGCAAGCTATGCAGGACAGACTACCGGGCATGACATTTATTCCTGTGTGAAATCCTTGAGGTTAATAAAGCTAATAAAGTGACTGAAAATGTGTCTGGGAGTAAAAATTTGCAGGGAGGGCACTAAGCTTCTTTGCCTTTGTTTTCTAATCTTTTAAAATGGCAATAATTGTATTTGGTAGACGAAATAGCTGTATAAAAGAAAATGGATGTTCAGAGACTGCTTTGAAGATGATGAGAGATAACTTTTAGAGACAATAACACGAATTAAAAACTTTATAGAGGCTGAATTTGTATGTAATGAATCTTATGATGAAGCTTGCCATTGTGGTGAGCTCCCTGTGAAGATGTAGACCTTTCATCACCCCGAATTGTTTGATCTTGTTCTTAATTTCTGTTGACTTATTCCTAAAATAAACAAAAGTTCAGAAGGAGGATTCTCTATCACATATTGTATTATTTATTGGGATGCTGAATATGAACTCTACCTGGACAAAGAAGTATCACTGCTATATATTCTTCTAGCAAGAAACTGTGGATGATTTCCCATCTCCTTGTCTTGACTGGGAATCTGCAAATAAAGCTATTTATTACCCTTTTAGAGAAAACCTTTTATTTTTTTTTTTAAAAGTAATACTGTTTCCTTTTCTCAGAGATCAGTAATGAAGAAAATAATGTCCTTTCTTCTCAGTCCAGTTCCCATTCTGCTATGCCTTGTGCAGCACCAACATCGGAACTGGCGTTTCATTTGATTTTACGTGCAATCTTCTTAGTAATCTTGGCAGACAGGGTTAGGGCTGTGCAAGCTGCGGAGGCTGAATGTGCAGTTTGCCTAGGCCCGTAGGAAGGACTGCTGGCAGCATGGTGGGAAGAAAGCTTGTGTGGGGATGACCGGCCGCAGGGCTGCCCTTCTATTGCCATTCACCAACATCGGTTGGAAGAGTTTCGGGCAGGCGCAAGGTGCTGCTCTTGGGGGAGAAGGGAGCGTTATTTGAGAGGCTGCTGCCATTGCTGCAGATCACGCTGATGTTTCCATTCTCTCTTCCCCTCCCTCGTATCTCCTTTCCTCCCAGTCTGTGGCAAGCGTTACAAGAACAGGCCTGGGCTGAGCTACCATTACGCTCCCACCCACCTTGCCAGTTTTCCCTTTGCCTTCGGGATCCTTTTCAGGGATGTTGCCTCCACCCTGTCTTTGCCTTGCAGAAGCTGGCGTGATTGCCTGGCTCCGTTGTGAGTGATTGGGACTTGGATGCTTGCAGCTAATCAGCCGCAGCTCACACGGGTGCTGGCTCAGCTAGTCAGGAATTCATTTCAAACCCAGCATTATCTCTGCAGCAAGTCACTTTTCCATTACTGGTCCTGTGGGGAGGAGGTGGCAAGGAGAGGGGGGAAAAGAAGAGATGCCCAACCCACCCATCATCAGGCAGCCTCCCAGTGGCTGTTAGCAGGGATGTCAAGGAAACACGCATCCTGTTTGAGGGGGCTGTCTTTGTTTTGCCTCTGAATCAGAGACATTTATCCATGTCTAAGTTTTTTTGGGTATGCAATTCAGAGCACCTGTTCCCCTTATACCTGCATCTCCTCCCCAAATGGCTTACCCTCAACTTCACCAAAAGCCACTTCTGAGTAACAGTTTGGGAAAAATCTATGAAAAAGCATCAGTAGTCATCTGCAAGGAGGAGAGCTGGAACATGAGAGGACTGAAGAGTTATATGCCTAGATTCCCCACACTGGAACAAGGCTGAAAGAAATCTTAGTGGTCCATGTGGTCCTATTTGACTGTCCTTCCTCTGCTTCTTAGGCAAAGAACTGGGAGTCAAGGAGACCGTGTTTTATTACTGATTTTTGCAAGTCTCTAAGCCCCTGTTTCTCCGTTTTCCAGTGTGCAATGCTATGCGATGGCTGCTTTCACCTTGGGATTTGTGTAGATGCCTTTGTTCACTTTCAAAAAGTCCTTTCAGATCACTGCTTGAACTGTGTCATTTTAGTTCAAAGTAATGAACAATGTGGACAAAGCAATAAAATGCCTATAGGGAAAAATACCCAGGCAAACACTTTCTAATACATTAGGAAGAACTGGAAGAAATATGAAAGTAGGAAAACATTTCCTTTCTAAGCAGGATAATTGATAATTGTCCCCAGGGAGGTGTGGGAGGGGGTTTCCTTCCTCCAAAGCATCTGCTACTAGCCACTGCCTGAGCTTGAAGGGCCGTTTAGTGTGATCCCATTTGGCAATCCCTATGTTTCTGTCACTTTTATGCTCTACCTTTTAGTTATTCACATATTTTGTAGGTTCACAGCAAAAGTAATTTTGACTCCTCCAGCTGTTGATAAACTTGAGCTGTCAATGCACCAAGAGCGATTGCTTGGGCAGGTTGGAGAATGTCAGTGTTCAGACAGTAGCTTTTGTTTACTTAGCATTTACATCATCTCTGTTTTCTTTTTCCTGTGTCTGCAGCAGTCAGTAATAGTTGCATATCTGAGGGGCATGTTGCAAATCTGTATTGAATGAATATTGATAATGGCCTTGCACAAATGCCCAAACAAAGAAGGATAGTGTCCCCTGCCCTTCAGCTTATCATAGAGGCCAAGGACGGTCTCAGTCCTTGTGTTTCTGGTGCTTCAGAAATGATAGAAGTTAGCAAGAGGAGGAGGTGGAAAAACTGTGGGAAGATTAGCAGCAGCTGGCCTTTGCCCATGGAAAGAAAGGTGTGCTCTGCACTATGGGAACAGGCAGAGCGGGAGCTGCTCGGGCTTGTGTTCCCCCAGAGCTCCTGTGTGATGCATGTGGCAGAGGGAAGCTGCTGATGCACAGATCCCCATGCGGGTAGAAATTCAGGGCCAGTGGGGTAAACCACTCTGAGATCCAGTTTCCTGAGCAGAAAGAATCTGCTTAACAACCAACCAGGAGCCAGTGAGGTACGGGCAACAGCCATGCGAATGTGCAGATCACCTCTGGGGAAAGTCCCAGACACCAGAAGGTCACTCTCCCAAATGGCTTAGCTGTCGCAGTGGCTGTTTCTTCCTTTTTGCCTGTTTATTTGTTAACAGCCTTGAGCTCAGATCTTGCATCTTTGCTCTTTCACTTGGCTATATTTAATTTATGCTGCCATTTATCTTCCATGTGAATGCTAATTGTCCACATTGCTAATGTGCAGTCATTAAATGGTCCCTTTGTGCAGGGGAATGGTGGGGAGCCCGGCCATCAGATCCTTCCTCTCCCCTAAGAACTGCTAGGCATGTGTTATGAATTAGATTTGACAGGTCTGCAGTGTCACAGGGCTCGGGCTTCAAGAATCCTCTCTGCATGGGCTTTTGGGAGTGGGGGGAGAGAGAGGGGAGGACCAGAGATATGGTATAGAGCGGGGTCTGGTTATTTGCTTAGCAGTGTGTCAGAGATATAAGCAGCCTGATTTAGAAAAGGCAAGGCAAATTCAAACCAGCCATTTGGAATTTGCCGTGCTGTGGGAGGTGAGCACTGGGTCAGGAAAGTTCAGGCGGGTGGCTGCAATATGAACTTCCTTCCTTTGTACCTGCACCTCCTCTGCAGCCTCCACTCCTCACAGTATCTGTGGTCATAACAGCCGTGCTGATGCAGGAGGGAGCTTTCTGGAACAGGGCTTCTGCAGGATTCAGCTATTGATGCCCTGGCTGGTGCCACCTCAAGAGCTGATGGCCTCTTGTCTTTCTGCACACCCAGTCCCCTTTATCTTTACTCTTCTTCTCATGCACAGACCAATTAGGTAGTTCACTAAATTATCCAGGGACTGGAAAAGAGGAGGAACCTACCTGGAACTGAAAACCACTGAATAGGTGTGTATCAAAGAACGGGGACTGGCCCAAGCCCCAAGTCTCGCCGCCTTGGCACACCTTGCTGTCCTTGACTGTTGTAGAAGGTTTGTTTATTTACATCTCCCGCTCCTTGTGTCCTTCCTCATCTATAGATCACCCTTTGCAACATGGAAGATAGTTCAACAGTCTTCACTGGCCTTTGCCTTTCCTAAAACATCTTAGCCTGTGCTTTGTTTGAGTTTTAGCTGCTTTGTTTGTATGTCTTATTAAGCCCTTTGGCGCAGATAAGTAGCCCTTCCTCAGTGCCTAGTCTTGCCTCTGCCTACACACACATTTATTTTTGACCTACTCTCTGATTTTTTTACCTGAGTATGGGACTGTGAAAAGGAAGCTACAGAAAACCCTTAAAAAAGTCAACTCCTCTCTTCCCCACCTCCCCTGATAAAAAGAAACGAGCCCACGCCATTCTTGGTGTTTTTTTCTGCTGGCTTTTCCTCCACATGTTGGCACCAAGAGCGTGAGATTTGTGAGCCCAGGGTGCATCCAAGCCTGCCACCAAACACCTGCTGTTTTATTCCATCTCACTCCGTGGGCACAGGCCAGCTCTGAGGGCAGCTGGTGCTCACAAATTTTGAGACACTTCTGATATAGGAATTACATTAGACTTCTATCTATTGAAATGTGTGTGTGAATGAGTGTACTAGTATAAATGCTCTTCCTTAATTCCTGGGAGAATAGGATAGTGTGTCTACATGGAGAAAAACTTCCTCTCCTTTAAAGGAGACGAGTTTTCAGTGGCATTTTGCTGTGTTGGTTACAGGCAGCTGTGCGGTAAACAGCAATTGAACAGATCTGATGCCCACAAGCACTTTGACCAATGGCAATCCTAAAAAAAGCACGTCGTGCGGGCTGTCGCTGGCCTAGCTGCTGTGTGCAGGTTGGTCCATCCTGCAATACATGTAGTTAACGAGAATGCAGTCCTGTGCCATCCTGTCACTCTGCTTGCACGTCTGACCCGCAAAACCACCTGTGTACGTTATTTCATGGCATCGGCCTGTTATGCCCAGTTCCATCACAGATTTTATGATGTGGATAAATCTCTACTGGAGAGACCAGCCAAAGTTGTTTGTGTACTCTAAGCATAATTGGATACCCAGTCTCCAGAGATAAAAAATTAATGTGCTAACCTCAGTGTGCCTCCAAGCTGTCCTCCAGCTCCCCCACACAGTCATCTTTGAAACATTTTTATTTCCATCCAGGCAGGGGGCTGGCCATGAATAAATGACGAGAGTCAGCCCCTCAGTTGGAGACGAGCTGTTTGTTCCTCTCCACAAGCAGCATCAATTTGAACCTCGCTGGGGCCATGACGGGAGCTACTTCTGAATGCAAGGATGCATCAATGCCCACCTTGTGACAAGATACCCTGCAGCAGGTGCTTCTTCAGTGAAAATATGTACATTACCTTGAGTTGACTTCTTGTTAGTCTAATCTGTTTAGGTCTTTTCTTTTCCAGAGCTTGTTTTCATAAGGAAAAAGAGTCAGAATACTAAAAGAAACAGTAGTGATTGCAGAGTTGGGAACTGCTTAATGATTTCCACTCAAACCCTGTTTGCAGCTGTACATTTCTCATACTTTTGTGCCTGTGATTTGGGATGCTGAGGGAAAAATAATAGATCAGTTGTTTAGAGTTTTGGAATATGGGAAAATCCCAAATTTGTCTCCTACATACAGGGACCTATAGGGGAGTTTTTGTTGTTTTGTTTGGAGCTGGTGGGGGCTTGTTGGTAATTTGGGGTTTTTTTTTGATATACTGCCTGGCCAGGACCTGAAATGTTGTCAATATGCAACTCATTGAAGAGGAGCATCTAGGCTTCTCAGCAGTTTATGGGAAAGCATCTCCAATTTGACCAATTAGTTTTTGAAAACCATGTGTTGCTTCAGTAACATGTCGGCTCTTAAGACAGAATGGTACCATTTCTGTATTTATAATTTTTTTTCCTTTCTTGCTATCTCCTTGCTTTTTTCCTCCTCTGTGTGGAATTTGTGAAACCCAAAAGTTTTGACTGTATTTGAACTTAGGTGCTCTGCCTTCTCACAGTACTCCAGTGAGTAATTTCCAGATCCTACAACATGTCTCAGGGACCCATTTGACAACACTGGCCATTCTTACCTAAATAGTGAGGGATGCTGCTGGACAGGGCTGTATACTGAGCACTATAATCCCTCCCTGAGTTCCCTGAGCTGATGGGAATGAGCATTTCAAATGGCCAGAGGCCAAGTCTCAGGAGAGGTACCCCTCAAAATCAGGAAATCTGTACATTAGCATGTCAGACTCTTTCGTCTGCCATCCTATTCTGTATCTCCTACTCTTCATTGTTGTGAGGCACTGGACAGTTACAGTGATTTATTGTGAGCAGTGGGATTTTAGCCCATGCTTTAGGTCTTCCTGCAGAAGGCTTTATAAGATCAGCTCACAGATATTTCTATGAAGTGCTGCCTTATGATGCAGGAACGCCAACTCCCCAAATCTAAAAGATCTGATCAGCTGATTCTGTATTTTCCTAGCTGTACCTCCACTGCCCACCTCCCAGCTCATTCACTACCTGTTCATCATAAGGGCCATATTGGTTCCTCTAAAAAGACATGATGGAATGCTCTTCCTCCCCCCATATTCAGAGGCTTCCTCTGACTCCTACAGATGTACCTCCTTCTTGTAGCACTTCTAGCTTGTAGTGCTCCTTGGCCATGCCTCTCCGTGAGCAAGGGCTGTAGGAAAGGCAAACCTGTCAGAGTTGCCAAAAAGTGTGCGAAGCCGTCAGCTTCTTCTATCCCCACAGCACCAACTAACTCACAGAGGAGATAAAATCCAGTTACTAGGAAGAACTGGCAATGCTTTGGGTGGGTGGTTTGCAGCATCTCTCTCAGCATAGCCTGCTTCTCTGGCTGCCAGCAAAGGGCATGCCCGTGCTGCACAGGGGAGTGTGGCACTGGGAGCCTGGGCTCTGGGAGGCCCATCGCCCTGGGGGGGCTGATTAGCTTGACTCTGGGAACAGAACAGCAGCCGTTTCCCAGTGCTGCACCCAAGTCCAGAGCTCGTGTGGTTGAGCACTGTATCGACAAGGATGTGTTGTTCCCAACCTCAGCTGCACTTACAGCCTGCTGGAGGGTCTCTGTATCAAGTGCCCCAACACTTCCCAGTTTGGGGTTAGCCAACAAGCTTATCTCTGGTGCTAATGACAGGATAAACATGCCCAGAGAGAGTGGCCATTTCCTCTCATTCAGTTTGATTTACATGTTTTCCTGGAAAACGGCAATTGAAAAAACCCTGCACTTAATTCACTGGCGAGGGGGCTGCAGAGATGATTGTGCACATCTCTGCCTGGCTGCGTATGTGTGAGAGAGCAAGAGCCTCCAATGCACTTCAGCTGTGCTTGGCCTGTTCCTCACCACGCCAGGGATTATATATGTGTGTTTTTCTTTTATTGTTCCTTTCCAGGGCAGGGTCTAATCCTGAGCACAGAAGCACCTCCACAACCCACCTCTCTGACCCCACAGTTGCTCATTACACCCCAGCAATGACTGGGGCAGAAGC